ATATATATATTTAAATCTAAGCTACAAAAAACATTTACTGAATATTCATTGAATATTCAATAAATGTTTTTGTGGCTTAGCTAAGTACTGTTATACAAAATTTATTTTTAGATATTTTATCTTATACTACACCCTACATATCATTAATCTATAAAAAAAAATGAGTTTTTATTGGTATTACATTAAAAATAGGGTTCTAATATTAGAATTCTATTTTTAATATAGCACCAATAAAAATTCTTTTTTTTTTATAAATTAACGACATGTAGGGGTGTAGGATAAGATAAAATATCTAAAAATAAATTTTGTATAACAGTACTTAGCTAAGCCACAAAAATATTCATTGAATATTCAATGAATATTCAGTAAATGTTTTTTGTAACTTAGCTAATATTAAAGCTGCTTCTATCTAAAACTTTTTTTCGTACTAAGTTAATCATCTTTGGACCTCTAATTGAAGTTGTAAAGCTTATCGAGATGAATCTAATGATAGTTGAATCATTAAAATCAGTCTTGTGAATCATGAGATATCTTCAAAAAATGATTCACTAACTATGTAAACTTCTTTTTCAACAATACTATTGTTAAAAGAGAAGTTAGTGTTCGAAAACGGATTAAAAATCCTGGTTAATCTGGAATTGATCTGAATTCATAATTCAGATTGAATCTGGGAGTAATTTGTGCTAATCTGACAGTTTGTCATATATATTTGATACAATATAAGTGATAAATTTGAATTTATCACTTATATTATAGCACAAAATGTGATACATTTGAATTTATTATATGACAAATTCGAATTTATCACTTAGAGTGATTATATAAAGACATGAACTAAAATTAGGCCCAATCCCGCACCATCTGAGTCCAATCTGACATTTTAGAGGCCAAACCTAATCCGACAGTTTGGATCCGCACAAATCTGAATCCGATCCGTGCTTACTTTTTTGAATACTAAGAAAAGTTTACATAGTTGATAAAATGTTTTTCGAAGATATCTCATGATCTACAAGGCCGATTTTAATAATTCAACTACTATTAGATTCGTCTCAACGAGCTCTACAAATTCAATTAGAGGCCCAAAAGTGATTAACTTAGTACGAAAAAAGTTTTAGATAGAAGCACCTCACATTCCAAAAACTCTAATATCTATATATAAACTGCATTACATTACATTATGAGCTCTCTGATTGAGTGGCAAATTACTAATTAATATAAAAAACTTATCTTAGTTTATAGATTAACAATATATAGAGTGTAAAATAAAAAAATAAGAATAAAAAATCTTATTTTTAATATAAAATTAGATTTATTATAATATAATATTTGTTGAATATTCAATGAATATTCGAATTTTAAAAAGATTGAACAAATGAATATCTGAATACAAATTTTTTAACTGAATCAGACCTCTACTAATGCATTCTCAACTTAATCTTTTGGGCATGCATATATATGTAATGGTGAAAATAAAAGTAAATTTTAATTATTCTTTACTATAAAAATAACCAGAAATTTACTTTTATTCTCACCATTACATATATATGCTAGAGATATAGTCTATTATTTGTTTTTTTATATATGTATTTGAATTTTAAAAAGAGGTAGCTTATTTTCAGAATTAAAAATTTTATTATTATTTTGGTTTGAAAAAAGCGAAATAGCTTATTTTTGGATGAAACAAGTTTTTAGATTTTTTGGTCAAAACAAAGAGATAGCTTATTTTTAGAGTAGCTTATTTTCGAGAATCTACAGTAGCTTACTTCCTCCAAAAAATCAATATATTGTTTATTTATTAAATCAGTCAGCATTATTTATTTTTATCTATTACAACAAATACATAGATATGCATAAAACATAAACATATAAATTATGTGCCTCAGAAGTAGCAACTCAAACAAACAATGCTTTGAGATTAATAGTATAAATTTCTGACTTCTTTACAGTAACAATATCAAAGAAGCTGATTATTTTTGTCTTTTACAGTTTTTTTGCTTAGATATACTAATTATATAGATTAGAGTAGAGATTAGTTTAGATAGTCTAGTATATAATTTTTATAAAGCCTGATACAGACTTATAATTGTGATCGTTTAATGTGGGTGAAAAATCTCACATTTTTCTTTATTTTGCTTTTCTTTACCTCTTTTTTTTTCTTGTTTGTATCTTTTATCATATTCTTCTATATCTCTGTGTTTACTTTTATAAAATAGTTTTTTCTTTTTCTTTCACTTTCCTACGAGAAGATGTCATCAAATTAGCAATATCCTATTGTAGAGTAGTGGTCAGACAAGCCTTTTGTCTTGAATATTATCTTATTGATTATATTTCTGCGGTGCAGCAGATTATCTGTAAGTTAGAGATGCAATCCATAAACTATTAGTTAATATAAATAAACTTAGTTTATTGTAAAACTGTAGTTTTAAAATAAACTACAGTTTATTTATATGTATTGTATTTCACAGTTCACATCTCTACTGTAAGTACATGTAGGTAATTGGTTAGGTTATACAAGGTAACCGCAGGATGTTAGGGCCAAAGTTTTATTGTTTTACATCTTTCACGAGATGAGTTTTAATAAACAGGAGTCACTAGTATAACTTTGCCTAAGTGAAAAAATAAAAGTATATATAAACTATAAGCACTTTTTCTAATGATCATTTGGTCAACAAAAATCAAGAAACTAAACTACAGTTAATGTTATAGAAGATAGTAAAGTAAATAATAAACTTGATTCTACAGAAGTAGATGTATTGTTGACAAAGTATCAAAAGTATAAAACTGAGATGTGGTCTACTTTGGACTGGTTTTGATATAAGTTAAGCTTCTTGCTAATAGACTCCTTTACTTTTATTCAGTATTTAAACCAGAAGGATATTTTGGGAACACAGAATGTTTAGAGCAACACCAGAAATATTACAAGCTTTATATTACTATACAACTGTAAAACTTATAAGGAACAACCACAGAAAAGCTTCGTTAGCCCACTACTTTTTTTCAAGTAAATTTTGTCAAGAAGTAGATGTTTTTGCTTACTTCTTCTAAAGATCAAAATGTAATTTTCCAAAACAGTCAGTATTTTTTACCTGTTTATATGAGTCCGTAAACAGAATAACAAATAGATATTCAGAATAAGCAACCATATGGATTGTATAACAACACAAATAGATTATATAGCTCAAACTGAAAAAACTATTGAACAATACTTCAAGACTACTGGTTCAAATTTTGGGTTAACTCTATCTAGGTTGACTATAGTGTCTAGTTTTAGCCAACTTTTTTTTAACTTTTTTACTTTTTAAGTATAGTTTATTAGAATAGAGAATATTATAGAGCATCTTTATTTAGTAATATATAATTTTTTAAAGCCCGACACAGGCCAATAATTGTAACTGATAGATTTTTTTTTTTTTTTTTTTTTTTAGTTTTAAAATGACCTCTTGATCACTATCCTTTTATTTAATTATTGTTAACTTTTACAGTATAAAACCTCATACCGTATATATATTTGGAGAGTACAACTACAACTTTTGATTGCCTATTTAAGTAAACACCTGAAGGTTCTACACTAGCTGCCGTACCTATAACTCTACCGAGTTACCTATTTAAACCCTCTGCGTCTATATACATTAATTTTCTAATCAAGTGAGAATATATTAGTACCTCTTATTTTCAGATCTTCAACTTAGGACTTTAAGACAGACCCATCTATAGGGGTCTTTTGTCCTCAAGATAAACCTGCTAGAGCTTTCCTACTTACAATCCGGCTAACTTAGGCTTTGGTAACTTATACTGAGTCCAAAAACAAGTACTTGTGAGCTGAAGCCGCTATTGTTACCTACCTCTGCCCTTGTAGAGTTTACTCAAACCTTAGTATACACTTTACAGACTATCACTGGTATTTAAGTTCCGTTAGTAATCTAAACTCTCAATCCAGATAGCTCGGAAAGGCTGTGACCTGCCTCTGGTCTCTACGGTTGGGTCCTTTTTCTCTGACTCATATCTGGTGGCCTAGTTGGTATAGTGTTTGCCTAATACCAGTCTTCATCTGAATTATTGAAATCGATATCTGGATCTCTTAGATAGCTTTTTACATAGTACTGTCAAAGATTTGTATTATTTCTCTACTCGAGTCTTGTCAAGTGGGCTTCTGTGTGCTCTAATACTTGGATTTATACAGCTGTTTTATCTGGTTCGTATAACTTATACATCACACTACAGTTCTACAGCTTCTCAATAACCCCTGGTACAACCAAGTTTACAGATCCAATGATTTATCAGATTATACACAGACTGCCGTAACACATTCTGTAAAATTTGAATTTTATCGCCAGTGGGATTTGAACTCTTGTCCTGCCACTTGGGAGTGTGACAACTTGACCACTTCACTAAGTTGCTACACCCTTGATAGATTTTTTTTCTTTTTACTCTACTTTTTATTTTTGTATTAATTTTTTAGTATTAGTTTTTGTCCTTTTTCTTTTTCTTTTTTAAAATTAGTATTAGTATTAGTAGATTTTTTTGTTTTTTTTCACTTTTCTACAAAAAGATGTCATTAGATTGGCAGTATCCTATTGTAGAGCAGTGGTCTGACAATGCTCCTAGGTAAAGATGGGCACTTTTGCATGATTGCATAGCTATATGCATTTGCATGAATGCTACATGCTGCATGAAATTTTTTAAAATGCTGCATTTTGCCTATAAAATATTTTATTTAACAAATAATATATAATATACTTAAATAAAAACTAATCTAAAGTATAACATATAAATTATTTATTATAAACCTAATAAGGTTCTACAAATACTAGCATTTATAAAACCCTAAAACCCAATTTACTATATATTAAACTAAGCAATTATTTATTATTAAAACAGGTTTATGCAAGCTTAGATAAAATTAGTAATATTTCATATGTTTAATATATATTTAAAAATATAAAATGATTTAAAAAAATTTTTATACATCAACGTCAAATAAACTTCTATCATTTTTGAAAATGGATCCTGCTTGGACCTATTTTAAAAAACTTGGACATGTTCCAGGTTTTAAGCAAAAAAGACGTTTATGCACATTATGCAATACTCAAATTAATGATGCTATCAGACAAGCTCATATTCATAATAAAAATTATCCAAATATGACAGCAGAACAAAAAAAAATATGCTTACAACAAACAAAATCTACAAAATCAAATTTAACTCAAATAGTTAATTTACCAGCAAAAACTTCAACAAATATAGAAAGTTTTGAAGATCGTATTTCAAAAAGTGAACAACTATCTCTTAAACTAAGTTTTGCAAGATCAATATTTTATTGTGGTTTAGTTTTATCATTACCTGAATTAGATCTAATTAAAAATCTTTGGCAAAAAGCACGTCCTACTTTTAAATTACCCAATAGAAAATGATTATCAACTATACTTTTAGATAAAGTTTATGATGAAACAAAACAGGAAATAGATTTATTAATTAGCAAAAGTGAA